TGTTATATACATAGCTTGAAGGTCATTTTATATAATATTTTAATACTTTTGTGCATGAAGTTTTGCAACCCATCACATGAGGTCATGTGTGGAATTTTCCACTTGTGGCATCATGTTGGCAATCAAAAGGTTTCAGATTTTGGAGCATTTCTAATTTTCAAATTTTGGATTAGGGATGCTCATCCTGTGAAGCCAACAACTTCATGTGGTCTCTTAAACCGTTCTTTGAACACATTTCCTAGAGAATTGCTGTAGGCTTGATGCCAACTTTTCATTCAAAATTCTGTGCTCAAAAAAGCTCAGGCCAACTCCAAATATGAGACATGAATGAATGAGTTGGTTACTTATTATAATAAGTAGGTGATCAATAGGCTGTGCCTTAAAGCTGTGTCATATTTTCATGGTAAACTTATAGATTACATGATACAGACGAAACTAGATACAACTCATCATTTTCTACCCCAAAGAAGCATGGTTTATTTGATTTGTTTGGAACCATCAAGTACAAAGAACTGGAATGAGTAATATGTTGCCTGCTGTGTCCCTGGAAATAGCTTTTAACCTGAAAATGAATTGAAAACCTCAATGGATTGAGGTAGGAGACATGGTTGGAAGCCCGTGTTAAACAGGAAATAAAGACATTTGATTCCCATGAAAAGTGGAATGTGTATGATAAAAAGTGACAAAGGCATCTCTTTCTACTCAATATTACCAACTTAATAAGTAAAGCATGCTCTTTGGATTAGAAAATAATGAGGTTGTGTCTGGTTTTTGTCCATGTTGTATGCTCTGTAGGCTTGGTCCACAAAACCTAATACTGCAAGGAGAGAGGTGGCCATAGAAAAGAATAGGAATTACTTGAAGCTGACCTGTAAGGAAATAAAGAATACGTCAAGTTCTCAGTGGGACTCTGGGGTGTTTGTAGATACTAGAAGTGAGCAGTTTAGGTCATCCAATACTTAGGATTATGCAGTGACTTTACGCTGATTTTTAAAAAGATCTGTGTTTTACCTCTTATGAATGGTTCACTTCACCCCAGGACTGTATCTGCTGGATTCAACCTGACTGAATTATTTCCCCAGAATTAAAACGGTAGTTCAGGGTCAAGAAGACTCCCCTAAAAAATAAAACCAGGGAGGCTTTATTTCTTCTATGTCCTACTTATGTTCCTGAAACCTTGTGGAAAGAGCCATGGCCTAGGGTACGTGAGACCTTTGTTATAAGACAAGCAGTGCACCTGACTGTCACGTGACCCTGGCCAAGTCTCATCATTTCTTTGGGACCGTCAGGTGGGGAGGTGGACTAGAGAGGGCACCATCCTTCTCTGGACCTCTGCCAAGTATTTCAGATAAACTCTCTGGTGGACAGAGACATGCATCACCCCAATGCTCCTTCCAGGGCAGACTTAACTCTGCCTCTGCTGCAGGAAATGTGGCTCTCCACAGACACCTCCAGCTGTCAGGCCCTTCAGAGATTGCCTTGGCTGCAGAGAGCCACTTGGCCCAAGGTTGCTACCTTCTCAATGGTGCACATCCCAGACTGAGGAGGCAGTAGAAAGCCTGGCCATTTGGACCCAACGTAGGACAACTCCAACAGACCATTAAAGGTCCACAGGTTGAGGGAGGAGGATCGCCTTAGCCCAGGAGTTCAAGACTAGCTGGGGCAACATAGCAAGACCCCATCTCTGCAAAACCTAAAAACTAGCTGCGTGTGGCAGTGCATGCCTATAGTCCCAGCTACTACTTGGGAAGCTGAAGTGGGAGGATCACCTGAGCCCAGGCGTTCAAGGTTGCAGTGAGCTATGATCATACCACTGCATTCCTGCCTAGGCAACAGAGTGAGACTCTGTCTCTAAAAAGATTAAAATACAAATAAATTTTTTAAATTGTTCCAGAGGTCCCCAGGGTTTGGCAGCAGCTGACAGGACTGCCGTGTAGCTCACCTTCTTTTGTTGTCAAGTCCCGCTTCCATCCTTCCTCATGACAGGCATCAATCCCAAAGTGCATCCCGATAAACATTATGATCCCCGGGCTGGAGTTTCCTTAGCAGAAAACCCAACTTGAAACATTCCGTGAACAAAGGGAGGTCACCTAATGCTAGTGTTTAAAATGGAGAAGACTGGGGGCCCCTATGTTTAGATTCACCTCCTACATCCCTTCCATGTCCTCATCACAGATGTAGCCTCTCCACTCCAACTGTGCCTTTCAGAGGCATGCTTGATATTTGTTATGCAAACGTGCTGGCAGTGGGTAGCAGCCAGAGCCCTGTTGCTATCACCCTGTCCCTTAGGGAAGGTGCTGGGTATTCCAGCCCGCCAGGGTCACTCCTATTTGACCTGAGCTTTCAGCCTAAAATCTTCATAAGCTGCAAAGACTGAAAACAAAAAAAAACAAACTTCGTGGTGATGTGGGGTTTGTTTTCCTCCCCGTCTGTGGAATTTGTCCTTTTGACCATGTTAGCATGGGGGGCATTTTTTAAATACAAAAGAAGACAGCTGCTGCTCAAATCAAAGGAATCGCACACTATTGATGGTTGAACAAAGGAAGGTTGAATGTCTTCATCTCTTCAGATCCTCACAGCAGAAATGTTTTTTAAGAACCTGCTCCCTTGTTTAATTATAAGTGAATAGGAATAATATATGTATATTTTTTAGATAGAGTCTAGCTCCATTGCCTAGGCTGGAGTGCAGTGGTATGATCTCAGCTCCCTGCAACCTCCACCTCCCGGGTCCAAGCAATTCTGCCCCAACCTCTCGAGTAGCTGTGACTACAGGCACATGCCACCACTCCGAGCTAATTTTTGTATTTTTAGTAGAGACAGGGTTTCACTATGTTGGCTGGGCTGGTCTCGAACTCCTGACCTCATGATCTGCCCATCTTGACCTCCCAAAGAGTTGAGATTACAGGCGTGAGCCACCGTGCCCAGCCAGGAATAATATTTTAAAACAAGAAGCATGGCAGCTGTCATAGAATTCCTTCCCTGGCAGATTCTGAAAGTCTGTGGGAGGGATGGATGAGCAGAGGAACCTGATGGTAGAGAGAAGGGAAATGTGGGAGAGAGGGTGCCATGCCAAGAAGAGATCCTTAGGGGAGAACTGCTGGCCCTCTCCACAGGGAGCAGTGCCTCCCAGGTTCCTTCTCCATCCTGGGAAGAGCAGGAAGGGGCCAAAGGGACACATAACTGTTACAAGGCATTGTAATTATAGATCTAAAATACATGGGAAAGAAGCCTGGGGGAGTAGGAAAATTAAGTCTGAAATCAGACAGAACTAAGTTCTAATCTGCATTTGTCTTTTATCCGTGCAGGATTTTTCCGATCCTCAGTTTACCTGTAAAGTGACGACTGTTCCTACCTTGTCAGATGCAGAGGAGTAGCCATAATGCAAGCGAAATGCATAGTAAAGTGCTTGGCCCGTAGCAGGCACTTAGTGAGAGGTAGTCACTGACCACTGACGTGAGGTTTTTTTTTTTTATGTTAATTAAGGCGCAGATTCTGGAATTTGGTTTGGCTGTGCATGAGAAGTTTGTACCTCAAGATATGAGACCGCTTCACAAAAAGCTGGTTGACCAATTCTTTGTGATGAAGTCAAGTTTAGGGATACAGGTATGTACACGTAGGTGTCCGTGGCTGGGCAGCCTGACCACTGCCATGTGCTTCTTGTTAAAGGGATGATGATGTAGCCAACAGTGACATCTTTTGGTCTTCCTACCAAACTGCAGTTTTTACCAGGGAGCCTTCAAATACAATTGCATTGTCTGCTATTTGTGAGGCTTTCCTTCTGGGAAAATACAAATATAAGTGAAGGAAAGCCAAATAATCCTGGAACTTGCTTAAATAGCTCCCTATGTAAAGATTTCATGATGATTAGGATATGTATCTAGTATGCTAACCTATCCCATAAGTTATTTTTCCCATCTCCTTCCAGAAATAAGATATTTCCCCTTTACCACATCTTTAGGAGTTCTCTGCTTGTATGCAAGCCAGTCCTGTCCATTTTCCTAATGGAAGCCCTCGCGTGTGTAGAAACTCAGCACCTGCCTCTGTGAGCCCAGATGGTACCAGGGTAATTCCTAGACGCAGGTAAGTCATATTCCAAATTATCTTACAATTTGGCCTCCCCACAAGATGATCTGGAACGGTTCTCTCATTCTTTATGGCACAATTTGTCAAATATGCTATTTCTTAATGAAATAACCCGCGGGGCAGCTGCAGACATCTGTCACTGGTAAAACAGCAACAGCATGAGAAATAAATAAGCTCAGACATTTGATCATATGGAGGCAAACAGAAAAAAACAAAATGGGATGTATTTTCTCCTTTGGTTTCATAGCGTTCTAGCACATGATAAAGTACAATTTGGAGACTGAGTTAATAACCTTTTTTTCCCCCGCAACAGCCCATTAAGTTACCCAGCTGTCAACCGATACTCCTCCTCCTCACTGTCCTCACAAGCTTCTGCTGAAGTAAGCAATATTACAGGGCAATCAGAAAGCTCTGATGAAGTCTTTAACATGCAGGTACTTAATTAGCTTTTTGTCTGCTCGTGTTGATTCCTTTTCTGTCTCAATTCTGAGTGTTTCTGTTCATTCTGCCATCCTAATGAACAGACCAACAAGCAAGAACTCGGCTTAAGGACAAACTTCTAAACACTCTTGTTGCTTTATGGGTCTCTGGAGTCTACAAAGACGTTTCTGTCAAAAGTGCCCCATCACTCTAAGACAACATCAGCAAGCAATGGAAGGCCAGGCGCACTGCATAGGGTTCAGCTCTGATACCTGCCCCAAGTCAAGTTCCTTCTGCAGTCCAGGACTCTCAGAGTGTGTCGCCACTTGCTAGCTGCCTGTCAGCATTTTTTTTCTTTTTTTTTACGAGTCTCAGTCTGTTACCCAGGCTGGAGTGCAACCTCCGCCTCCCAGGCTCAGGCGATTCTCGTGCCTCAGCCTCGCAAGTAGCTAGGATTACAGGCATGCACCACCTCACCCAGCTAATTTTGGTGTTTTTAGTAGAGTTGGGGTTTCACCATGTTGGCCAGGTTGGTCTCGAACTCCTGACCTCAAGTGATCTGCCCACTTTGGCTTCCCAAAGTGCTGGGATTACAGCTGTGAGCCACCATACCCGGCCCCTTTTAATATTCCAAAATGGCTTTTTTTTTTCTTTAAGAAGACATGATTTGGCTGGTACAGTGGCTAACACCTGTAATCCCAGCACTTTAGGAGACTTAGTTGAGTGAATCATTTGAGGTCAGGAGTTCAAGACCAGCTGGACAACATGGTGAAACCCTGTCTCTACTAAAAATACAAAAATTAGCCAGGCATGGTGGTGCGTGCCTGTAATCCCAACTACTTGGGAGGCTGAGGCCGGAGAATCGCTTGAACATGGGAGGTGTAAGTTGAGTGAGCTGAGAGCACACCACTACACTCCAGCCTGGGCGACAGAGCGAGACTCCATGATTTGAGGGTCCATTTTAAAATTCTCTTACGTGCATGTCAGAAAGTTTCCAAAGTTTTTTTTGTTGTTGTTTTACACAGAAATGTTAATTACACAGAAAAATGTTTTTAAGGATTTTAGAGCCAGTATAACTCCTGCAACCAAACATTTTATTTAGACACTACTAATATGACATTTGTAATAGTTCAGTAAGACTAAGCTGAAATTTTCCTCTCCACTGTCTTTGGAAAGGAGGCATAACACATTTCCAAGTCATGCTTTGAACATACATTTACAGATAACAAGAAGGCACATTTTACGCCTTTCAGAAGCACTCACCTATTTTGGGGCCCTAGGCTGGAAGTCAGTCTACTTATACCTCAACCAAGGAGAGCGCTGCTAACTGGTACAAAGTCACAGCGTACAGCTGAATCTAACACGAAGGCATTCCTTTGGCCAGAGTCAAAACCTCAGACTTTTTATTAATTCATGCAGACTTTTTTGTCAGACTTGTTAAGATTTTTCTATATTGTTAAATGGACTTTTTTTTTCTTGCTAATTCGAAAAAAAGTTTGATGATTTTGTTTAAAAGATGTCAGTGTTGCGGGAAGCCTTTCATCAGGGTGTGATGATAGCCCCTTGTGTGTTTCCAGCCAAGTCCATCTACCTCAAGCCTGAGTTCTACTCATTCAGCTTCGCCTAACGTGACAAGTTCTGCTCCATCGAGTGCCAGAGGTCAGTGTCAGAGTGTGGGGGAGACCAAGAGTGCCCAGAGAACCTCCTAGTCCTGGGAACAGTGGCCAGCTGCCACGCATTCAGGCATTCTCCTCCAAACAGGTGCCCCACCACTGCCAGGCTGATGGTTCTCTCTCCTCTCTTCCCAGCTTCTCCATTGTTGTCTGACAAACACAAACATTCCCGAGAAAACTCTTGCTTGTCCCCAAGAGAGAGACCATGCAGTGCCATCTATCCAACACCCGTGGAGCCTTCACAGGTACTCCTTGCAGGGTAGAGAAACTGGAAAACAAGGACAATTCTGGAATTGCTTACATATCTCTGTAGAAACAAAAAGCAAGCAGCCGGGCAGTGTCAGGCCAGCCCAGCTGGTAAAGAGCGCACGTCTGTTTTCTGCCCATGGTTAGGAATTTCTGCCTGAGCCATGGATTTTTTTTGTTTGTTTTTTGGAGACAGGATCTCACTGTGTCACCCAGCCTGGAGTACAGCAGTATAGTCCTGGCTCACTGCAACCTCCGCCTCCCAGGTTCAAGCTATTGTCCTGTCTCAGCCTCCCGAGTAGCTGGGATTACAGGTGCCAGAGATGGGGTTTTGCCATGTTGGCCAGGCTGGTCTTGAACTCCTGACCTCAGGTGATCCACCTGCCTCGGCCTCCCAAAGTGCTGGGATTACAGGCATGAGTCACTGCGCCTAGCTCTGAGCCATATTTCTGATAGGAACACATGGTAGTTCCTTGGCAGTGATGCTGAAAGGGAAACGGGAAATTTACTCTCCTGGATCTGTTTCTTTACTGCTACTTAAACATTACACGAAGTAGTTGGGTGAATAAAGAGCCTGTGTTTGCATGCCATGTGTATGTAACAGAAGTCTGAGGGAATGTCTTGGACTAGGAAAATACCCTTGGAGAATAGCATGCTCTTGCCCAGCAGTCTTTGCCTTTGCCTAGGCCTATTGAAAAGAGCTGCAATTGATTCCTTTCTGGGTACCCATGAGTATAGGAGCAATTTCTGTTTGCCTTTGTGATTCTTCTTGAATGCACAAGCAGAGACAGGTTCAGTCCTCCACTTTCCCTGTCAACTCCTCACCGGAATAAGGGAACATGGCCCTCGCCCTCTGCCTGAACTTGGTTTTGAAGTGATCCCTGTTTTTCTGAGAGCAAAGGCTTGGGCTCAGCCCTTGGGCACTTTGAGAGCCTTGAAGGGTGGTTTCAAAGTTGAAGATTCATGGGTAGCCTGGAGTTTTAAAGATTATTTGGGCCAGGCTCGGTGGCTCAAGCCTGTAATCCCAGCACTTTGGGAGGCCGAGGCGGGTGGATCACGAGGTCAAGAGATCGAGACCATCCTGGTCAACATGGTGAAACCCCGTCTCTACTAAAAATACAAAAAATTAGCTGGGCATGGTGGTGTGTGCCTGTAATCCCGGCTACTCAGGAGGCTGAGGCAGGAGAATTGCCTGAACCCAGGAGGCGGAGGTTGCGGTGAGCCGAGATCGCGCCATTGCACTCTAGCCTGGGTAACATGAGTAAAACTCCGTCTCAAAAAAAAAAAAAAAAAAAAAAAAGATTATTTGGGAATAATTTAGGAGCAGAGAAGAATAGTTATTTCTACCTCAGCTAATTTCTCTGTTTTTTTACACCGTCCTGGCAGAAGACTGTAGCCGCATCAGGAGGAGGATGAGAGCGAATGGGATTTGGCTTGATTGGTTTGTCTTTGCTGATGAGGTGATCCTCCTGAAAGTCCCAGAACACCTCTGCACAACACTGACGTCTTGCAGAAATTATATCTGAGTGCATTTGGCTGGACTAGCTCTTTCCCTTTGTCACTTGATGATGCTGCAAGGGAGTTTCTTAGTTTGTTCTGCTCCAGGAGCACTTGTGGCCAGCATGGGCAACTCTGAAAGCCTTCTCTGATTAGCCTCCCAAGTGTTCTGGTTTTAATACAATTGGAAGCAGTATATATGTTGCCAAAATTTCAATAAAATGCGCATTTCTGTAGTACATCTGCTTTTAAGGATTTGGTACTTTCTAGTTAATATGTTAGGTAGAACCATGTAAAACTGGCATTTTTATAAGTTAAAAAATATAGACTATCCACTATTTCATGTATTTTTTACCTAATGAAGGACTTTGAATGTGCAGGGGTTAAATTTCATTCACTAGTGATTTTTTTGAACTAATATTTCTCCTTTAATTCTTACTTCTGTTTTATATCACCACTGTAGCATTTGTATTTATAAAGAACTCCATACAGTCCAGATGGGGTGGCTCATGCCTGTAATCCCAGCACTTTGGGAGGGCAAGGTGGGAGGACCTCTTGAGCCCAGGTGTTCAAGACCAGCCTGGGCAATATAGTGAGATTCCATCTCTAAAAGGAAAAGAAAAAACGTCATACTACAACTGCTATTTACTATTTGTTACATTTTATCATGAACATTTATTTACCATTTGTATTTAAAATGTAGTACAAACTTTTCAAACACTGTTTGCTTTCTCAAAACCTAAGGCTCTTCTTCACCCCCTTTTAAATTCTTTGTTCCTAGGGTCATCATATCATATAAAAATTACTTTGAACAAATAGTTTCAATAAAGGGACACTCATCTCATTTTCTACAAGCCTTCACATGTCTGTATATTGCCTCATAAAAATCGACCCTTGTACCTTTGCAGAGGATGCTGTTTAATCATATTGGAGACGGGGCCTTGCCACGCAGTGATCCAAATCTCTCTGCACCTGAAAAAGGTAAGGCCAGCCCCATGATTAGTCCTGGAATGTATAAGGGCTTGTTTTATCCTCATTTCTCCAGTCTTCCGTGTGTCTGTGTGGAAGGCAGTGCTCTAGCTCTTTAATGATCAGGGCTAGTATGCTCTTTAGGGGATTAATGAAAGACAGCTATTCATGATCCATTCTTCAGAAGGTGTTTTCCTATAAGATTTAACAGCAGAACCTGAGCAAGATAGGAACGCCTGTGTTTGATGGCTTTTTGTTAACATCCAGTGAGTCACCCAGCCAATGCCTCCTCTTCCTGAAACAAACTTGCCAATTAGTCTCCTTGTTCAGCACAATGAAAATAGCGTCTTCCCAGATCAATTCTGTGGTCCCATCCTTTGTCTCCCTTACGAAGCTCATTCAGGCAGCTCATGTGTTGTTTGTTGTGACTCAGATACGGCTCTTGTACAATTAAATACCATTTAAGAATTGCAATCCAGTGCATAATGGAGTGTGCCCTGCCTCAAGGTCACACAAAAACGAGAACCAAACACATGCATAGCAGCAAATAGCCAATTAGCACCAATCTGCAACACAGCAGAAGATGAAAAGCAGAATAAATGCAACTTCCTCAGCTTCCTGTAGGGGCTTGCAGCAAGTCACCCATTCACCTCTCTCAGGGTCAAGCCTCAAAAATAAGAGCAATTCTCAGACCAATGAATCAAGAGTCATTAATGATATATCCTGGAAAAGTGCATTTTAATTGCCCTCATTAAGAACTAAACTGTATTGTCATTTGGGTACACTGATACGTTAAAACTTTCCTTGGGAGATGGAAATTAGTGAAGTCTTAGCCAAAAATATTTTAAAATACAAATTTAGCTTTAATATTACAAGTCACATGTTGATGTTTGTCAGCAGAACTGAGGAATGTGGTATTTTCTCACCCCTCCTACCAAAGAAAACCACAATGCAAATTTAAAAGAAATAGAATTTTAAGAATGGTTAACTCCATCCCATTAAATGAAAATGGTAGAGTGGTTAAATGTTGAAATTCTCAACATGCCCACCAGATGGCAGTGTCTGTACAGGGAGTGAGTCACCGGCACTCCAAAGGTTTGAAGCTGTAAACCTCACTGTATAGCGGCTATTTACAAGCATCGTGTCCTGCCCTTGTTCCTACCAGGATTGCTCCATATTTCTGCATCTTACCGAAGCACAGAGCAGACACATTACAAAATAAGAATGATACTGTTGGTATTCCAAATCATGTTTTAAGGACAGATTTCAGTGTAATTCATTGATTTCAGAAAGAGTTCTTTCCTCAAAGAGTTGATCAAGGAGATAATGTGGCATGGCTGTTCTTTCCCAAGAATTCTGCCAAATAATTAAAATATTACTATATCATTGCTTTCTCCGTGTTTAGGTGTCACTTGTCCAGAAATGTTCACTAAAAAACAAGTTTTAAAATAGTCCAGTGACTACATCTTCCGTCTGTTATCCAGCATCTAAATTAACATTTGTAATTCTCAGCAAGTTTTACACCCCAGCGTAGAGATTTGTAGTTCCCTTTGACAACACTAAGGGAAATAAAGAGACTTGCTAGTGGCCAGTTAAATGGTAACCGTAACTGTTAGGCCGCCAATTAAATAAAGGTTTAGTACTCAAGAAGTTTCCTGTTTTGTTTTTAATCCAGTTAAGTTTTCCTTCTGGATAATTCTGACTTTCTTCTAAGATCTCAAGCATTGGAAGGGCAAAGCTGGACCATGTGTTTTCAGCTGTCTTATTCCCTTCCAGCTGTGAACCCCACCCCTAGCAGCTGGAGCCTGGACAGTGGGAAGGAAGCCAAGAACATGTCGGATAGTGGGAAACTTATCTCTCCCCCTGTCCCTCCAAGACCCACACAGACTGGTGGGTATTTGAAGCTTTGAACAATCACTTTTATAAAATAACTTTTATTGACTACTACAACTTGTCCTGAATTCCTGAGAGAAAGGTAGGCATTTGATTTCTGGGATAAAAACCTTAGTAGCTATGTAATTCCTTGACAATGGTCTCCCTCTTTCCTGAACTTCTACGCGGGGTCAAACAATGATCTGTTTCTAATATGCCTCTCAGACAGATTTTGTAGAGTGCCCTTTACCAAGGCACCATTCTCAAATTCGGGGAGGCCCCCTAACCTTGCTAGGCCACTAGCATCTTCTCTAACCAGCCTCCACTAACTCAGCCACCTTCTTCAGTCTTATTCAGGACTGATGCCAAAGTTTCCATTGCCTCTAAAAAGCTATTGACTAATAGTTATCCTCCACAAGCTTATCAAAGTCTCTAACTTTGCATCTATAGTTATCTATTGCTTTAAGAGGTCTTTATGCAAGGGCTGTGTTTCTCAAAGGGCTGATTCAGGGTACTGCATCCCCTTAGGTGGTGGTTTAAGCAGCAAAATCTTGGCCGGGTGTGGTGGCGCATACCTGTAATCCCAGCACTTTGGGAGCCCAAGGCGGGTGGATTGCTTGAACTCACAAGTTAGAGACCAGCCCGAGCAGCATGGCGAAACCCCATCTCTACAAAAGATACAAAGATTAGCCAGGTGTGGTGCCACATGCCTGTAGTCCCAGCTAGTTGGGAGGATGGTTTGAGCCTAGAAGATAAAGGTTGCAGTGAGCCAAGATGGCACCACTGCACTTCACCCTGGGCCATCAAGCCAGACCTTGTCCCCCCCCAAAAAATAATAAAATAAAATTCTCAGGCCTAAACTCACCTACTGAATCAGAATTTGAGTTTTTCAGGGATAAGACCCTAGTATCTCTTGTTATGAAACCTTTCGGGTGATCTTTCTGCTCACTAGATTTTGAGAACCGCTGAAAATAAATCTTAAACTCTGTGAATTTGTAGCAATAACAGGCCTCCTTGCCTCCTGAACTTGCTTGGTGACCTACGTGTGGAGGGGGGCTGCTCTGCTTCACTAGCTTTGCTTATTCTGGCGATGGGAGAGTATTTTCAGCACTTATCTACATCTAGGGTAGAATTGAAGTTTTACAAATACAACTAGCCTACTAACAGAAAAAATATGACACAATTTCTTTCACAGTTTTTTCCTAGATGATTCATGTTTCATTTGCTGCATTCTAGCATCTCATCCTTCAAGATAAACTACGGGCCAGACAAGGCAGTTCACTCCTGTAATCCCAGCACTTTAGGAGGCCAAGGCAGGCAGGTCACTTGAGCCCAGGAGTTCAAGGCCAGCCTGAGCAACATGGCAAAACCCCATCTCTACCAAAAAATGCAAAAATTATCCAGGTGTGGTGGTGCACACCTGTAGTCCTAGCTACTGGGGAAGCTGAGGTGGGATAATTGCATGAGCCCAGGAAGCAGAGGTTGTAGTGAGCCAAGATCGTGCCACTGCACTCCAGCCTGGGCAACAGAGTGAGACCCTGCCACAAAATACAGTAAACTATGTGCCACCCAATTTATTCTATACTTGTCAAAGGTAAAAGTCAAGTCACCAATAATCTTTGAAAGGCATATGAGATCTTCAAAGAAATAAGAAATAACTTTAAGCTTATTGATCACCTGCATTAGCATATCAGCCTGTGTACAGAACCCTAAAACTTAGCCAGATTATTTGTATCTATCTCATTCACGATGTGCATATATTCAGGCAGTCCCCAATTTCAACCTGGTTGTGTCCCTAAAGTTGAGATCCTGAAAAGCATTTTTTAAAGAATCAATCATAGTATTTCTGATCCTTACATTTCTAGGCCAGTTCAAACCTGAAGACAGGGATACTGATGGATCTATTTTGGGTCTCTGTGGGAAGACACGTTTCCAGAGAAATCTCTCTGCAAATGTGCTGTGGTTGCTGGGGCCACCATGGTGGTTGGTGTCAGCCACTGCCCGAGTCGAGAGGAAGAGGGTCCCAGGGAACAGTAAACTTTCTGCCACTGTTAAGGCAGGAATTCAGTGCCCCATCAGGATCAGACTCTCCTTACATACATGATTTTCTTCCGTAATCAGCACCCACAATCAATGGGATAGCCTAATGCTGGTATTCGAATGTGACACGTGCTGACAGCATGCCCCAGCATTCAGAGTGCAACAGCATGGCTGCACACTCCCAGTGTGATCATAGAGCACTCTCCCTGGCTCCTTAGGACCCAGAGCACACAGGTGCCCTTACCCCTCCCCAGTTAACTGGCAGGGCTGCCATCCCTTCTGCACTGATTGCTCTCACGGTCTGTTCTTATGTCATCATCTGTGGTCACTGTTGTGGGGCTCTTCTGTAACTGTCTTCCTTTCAGCCTTTCAGTAGTTTTGTTATGAGTTACAAACCTCAGTGTGACAGCTGGGAGAGTGGCAGCTAATCACAGAGCAGCATGCCCAGAGTTCACCGAAACATCTCTGCACAACTGAGAAATGTGGCTGACCCTCACCCTGTTGACTGTGTCATGGCCAGTTTTTACCATACAGGGCTATGCTTTAGAGAGCTGGATTTGCTCCACAAGCATGCACACGGGAGCAGTGCCATCACACATGCTATGTCACTGGTGTAGGACTTGAAAGTCTAGTGAGAAAAAGCAAACGGTTCACTCTTCTTGGCCACAATGATGAAATCCGTAGAGACCCACCACCAGGGGCCAATAGGGAGGCCTGAGTATAAGCATTAGGGGGAGAAATGGAAAACCATGCACCTCTTGTATGGCCATGGCCAAGGGTTTTCTACCTATTTGGGGATTATGGGGGTTGTCGGGGGGAGCTGATTAAATATATTCCCATAGACCTGTTCCAGGCTGCCAGGGTAGCCATGGTGTTCCCATTGCTGCTCCGCCCAAAGTCAACAGCTGTTCCCCAAGAACTGCTCCCTAGTACCCCACACCTAAAACACCTTATGAGATAGATCAATCAGTGCAGAAGCACCTGGACTTTGGGGAAATAGAAAAGACTCTGGATCAATTTGGGCCCCTGTCATTTGGTCCAAGTATCATATATGCCATGATCACTTTTCACTGATGCTCCCACATCTTGGCAGTGCCACCCTTTGTAAGGAAGCCATTCTAGACAGGTATCATTTAGCTTCTCCCTCATCCTCACGACTCCCTTTGCCTAGAAGGTCCTTATGCACTGGATCATCTGTCTGGGCTTGTAACACAGAGGGCATGTGCAGATAGTCATCTGGTTTTTAATTGAAATGTTCTCTCTCTCCCCATTGACAGCTTCACCAGCAAGACATACAACATCAATATCCCCCTCACCTGCCGGGAGATCTCCATTGAAGGTAAAGGCCCTTCTTTCAGCGAGGCTAGAGACTGGCCCAGTTTTCTTTTTCTCTAAGACTCATCTCAGATATATCAGAAGGTGTTTAATTTGCAGGGACAAGGCAAAGAACATATTAAGCAGGGATGGGGAAGCTGGGGGAGAAAACAACACTGGGTTTTCTCCTTTGGGTGCCTCCTCTACGAACACAGCCATTTGTTTTTCCATTATTTGCCTCATTCTCCAAATGGTAGCAGTGAGAACTTGCAAACTAGAGTCAGCGCATATACTGAATTAGGAAAGAAATGTGGTCCCAATGTCCCTTCTAGCAAATTTTCAGCCTGGCCTTTTAGTTTAAGGCACGTCAGACACACACTTAGACTGAGAAACATCAGTGTCAATATCTACTAAATATTCTCCACATCTTTTTGCCTTTATCATCAGCCTCACTCATTTTGTCAAAGCAAGCCTAATGTTCTCTTCTAATATTTTATACCAAGTTTCTCATTTACATTAGAAATACATACTTGATCACGAAAAACAAGGAAGTAATATAGATTTTAAAAATTTCTAGGGAACCAACTGGAAAGCTTTAAAGGTCAGATATTTGAATTGGTATGTAGGCATGGACCATTTAACATCTTAACATGTAAAATCCCTCATGAAGATAAAGAATAATATTTAGTCTTTATCCAAATTGAATCAGACTGGCTGCAGGGATTGTCAGTGCATGAGAGATTGGTGTTCAGAACTGCTGCACCAGAGGCAAATATGAAGTGTGTTGAAAGAATGATTTTTTACCTGAGTGATTTAGGATTGACGCGCTCCATGTCCTTTGTGTTGATGAGACAGTTCTAGCTAATGTGCAAAAGACAAATTAGCCTCTACAAACACATAAGGGCTGGTTGCGATCCAGTGCATCTGTGGTGCTAACGATAGTTGCTGATAGAAATTAAGAAACTGGAAAACAGCCTGCTTCCCTCCGCAAAATGGAGAAAATTGTAAAGAAGTGTGATTCCCTTGCACTGCCAAAATTTTTGATGTAGAAATTTGCTGGTAAGTGCAAATGATTTGCTAGTTTTGTTCTCATTCCATAATGCAGCTGTTATTAAAGTACCTGTGACAGCATTCACTCTGGAAGCCATAGCCTGTCACCAAGATGTGATGGAAAGGAAAGCAACATGGCTTTTCCATACCTTTACATTTACCCTTGCTCACAAAGAGCTGCCACACATTGCTACAGAATTGTCATCTGTATTTTTCAACTAATTTTGTTAAGTAGTAAGAAAGTAAGTCTTATAGATTAATTCTTAAACATAAAAAAGAACCCAAGGGCTAAAAACATTTGAATAGCTATGAAATAGTCTTAGTTAGCAAGCTGGTATATACTGTCTCTCTGCAGACCTGTGTATATTTTTATACATGAAGCCATGTCTTTGTATGTAGGGTTTGAAGGAAGAGAAAATAGATCAAACATTTGTGTTATACTTCCTGGATTACATTAGGGGGCACACTGCTTCCAAGTTACTAGCATTGCAGTGTGCTGCCTTAACTGATAAGCATTTAGTGGGGTTTTGATCTTTGTTTTTTTTTTTTTTTTTTTTTTTTTTTTTTTTAACCCCCCAGCCATTAAATTATGGGTCTAACCCTCGAGTGAAGACTGAGCTGAACTGCCATATTTTGAATTTCAGGTCTAATTTTTGACAAAGGTAGCAGTGAATTGGTTTAGGCTCCTACAAAATGAATGGATGTGTATCTACCAGCATTATTTTGTTTACAAAGAGAAACCAAAATAAAGTTAGCTTAGGATAGCATTTCTCAAAGTGTATACCATAGAACATTAGTTTTCCCAGAACATTATGTAATTAGTGGGGGGGAAAAGGTCTATAGTCAAGTAAGTTTGGAAAACACTGGGCTGAACAAAATTATTCGTATTCCTTTATTGTAAGACTTGAAAATGCAAATATGCCTTGAATATACACAAGGAGTATACAGTGTGCAGCATTTCCCAGTGGAACCCTCTTTCCACAGAGCATCTCTTAGGACTCATTTTCCTTAGGATAGCAGTTGGGAAAGCAACAAACTCAGATGCCATATGGGGCCAGACAGCTGACATAAATGAAGGAAGGAGGCCGGGCGTAGTCCCCATGTGGTGTAGTGGGAACCATGGCAAACTGAAAGGGAACAGCCCCTGCTCAGTCTTTAAAGATTGTCTCCATTAAGAGAATTGTGTGCCACTGTGGCCAGAACTTCTAGTTCCTTATGAATTGCCAGAATTCTGGAGTTTCGTGTGAAATGCTCTTGTTAAAAATTAACAACTAAATCAGATTTTTAAAAAATACTGCTGATGCAACAGCTTCCATCTCAGGCTACATCCCAAAGGCTGCCAGTTTGCCAGTTCAGCTCAGGAGTCTGGAGTGAGGGCTGGAGAATCGGGTACAGGACTCAGGTGCCTCTGCTCCCGGTCCTGAGTTTTCTGGGTCCTCTGAGCTGAGTGTGCTCAGAGGCCCTGGCTCCTGGTCTGCTGCATGGCCTGATGAACTGGGAAAGTGAATAGCACCCTCAAAGGTTTTGTGGGGTGTTTTTTGTTTGTTTTTGGTTTTTGGCCAGTTCCCTCTCTTCCAAACTATACGACTGACTAATGTGAAGTTATCTTGGTGGGTACCTTTAATTTTTCATTTATTGTTTGAGACAGAGTCTCACTGCATTGCCCAGGCTGGAGTGCACTGGTGGATCACGGCTCACTGCAGCCTGGCCCTCCCAAGGCTCAGGTGATCCTCCCAGAGGAACTGATTACAGGCATGAGCCACTATGTCCAGCTAAATCTTTGAATTTTTAATAGAAACATGATTTTGCCATGTTTCCCACGTTGGTCTCCAGCTCCTGGCTTCAAGTGATCCTCCCGCGTTGGCCTCCCAAAGTCCTGGGATTACAGGCATGAGCCACCGCGCCCAGGTACTTTATTCTCTTTCTGTCTGAAAATAAGCAGTAATGTGGGCGGTGAACTGAACTCAAGGACTGGTGGGCCTGGCAGATAAACGTCTGGTGTGTATTTTCATGGCTACAAAGGACAACACTCAAATTTGAGTGTGGGTGTATTAGGCTGCTCGGGCTTCCCTCACAAAATACCCCGTACTGGGTGGCTTCGACCCTGGAATTTTTTTTCTCAATTCTGGCAGCTAGTCCAGGATCCCGGCATGGCAGCCTTGGTTTCCCCGGGGGCCCTGTCCTGGGCTTGCAGACGGCCCTTCCCGCAGGGTCTTTCCCGGCGTCTCCCTGTGTGTCCAAATGCCTCTTCTGATAAGGACACCAGTCAGCTTGGATTAGGGTCCACCGTCGTGGTTCCTTTTACCTTAATCATCTCCAGATGCAGCCGGCTTTGGGGGTGCTGGGGGCCCGGCCCCCGCGTGGGGGCGTGCAGTCAGCGCATCCGCATTCCTGACTCACCGCTGTGTCTCCCCCTGGCTTCCTTCCCGAGCAGGGCTCCGTGCAGTCTTTCACCCCCTCTCCGGTGGAGTACCACTCCCCAGGACTCATCTCCAACTCCCCTGTCTTGTCGGGCAGCTACAGCAGTGGGATTTCTTCTCTCAGCCGGTGCAGCACGTCGGAAACCTCAGGCTTTGAAAATCAGGTGAATGAACAGTCGGCCCCCGTGCCGGTGCCGGTGCCCTTGCCGGTGCCCGTGCCCGTGCCCGTGCCCATGCCCATGCCGACCTATGCCGGGGAGGAGCCGGTGCGCAAGGAGAGCAAGACCCCGCCCCCGTACAGCGTCTACGAGCGGACTCTGCGGCGCCCCGTCCCGCTACCTCACAGCCTCTCCATCCCCGTCACGCCCGAGCCACCCGCGCTGCCCCCCAAGCCTCTAGCGGCGCGATCCAGCCACCTGGAGAACGGGGCCCGGAGGACTGACCCCGGCCCGCGGCCCAGGCCCTTGCCCCGGAAGGTCTCTCAGTTATAAGTCACTTTTCTATGTACCTGCGATGAATTCTTTGCCCGTTTACAAAATAAGAAGTATGATGAGAAGACATTTAGTGTAGGCACTTTAATAACTAACTTACTCAGATCCTTCAATGAATGGAATTAAAACTTGCTTATTAATATCATGTTGCACAATATTAAAAGTTGCTGATCTCAATGCCAGATGTTAAATGAAGTATGGCTGAATTTCATTAAAACGTTTCTCATTTGAAAGTGGTAAATAGTGACAGAGACTCCTTTTGTACCTTTTTTTGTTCACTTTTTTTTTTTACATAGTAAAATCTTAAAACCAATACGATATTGTCAAACAATACAATGTGTGACAATGTTGTATTCTTTTTACTGAATACTTGATACTTGGAGAAAGCTTATTAAGTCAGTGCACATCCTAACACAGTGGTCCTTATTTTAGAAGATGCCTGTAAATAAGACAAGGTGTTTGGCTCCTCTGAGCAGATTATCGGTGAAGATCATCAGAATTAAAGTTCAGGCAGGCTAGCCAGATAGTATACTTAAGGGGTGGCAAGGATTGGAACTGGAAATTGTTTTGTTCTTGAAACAAAATGCTTCTTTACGGTTGCTTTTGCTGTTTGACTGCTGTCTACATTCTTAAAATTCGATTTTGTGAATTGGTTGCTAAATCCCTTACTGCCCTCACACCATGGTATCTACTGTATTTCTTTTCGAGGTGCCATTTGCTTCAGAGTTCCGATCAGCTAGATTAAGCGAGAGACTCCAGAAGAAATGTTTACTTGAATTTTGTGCTTCCTTTCTTGATAGTTTCCTATATAAAATGTGTCATTGAAGAAGAGCAGATGTTCAAGTCTTAAAGAGGCACAAATTACTGTGCCCCATTAGCAAGAATTCAGGAATCAATACAGGACAGTATTAAATCAATAGCGTAAGTGAAGATAAAAAAACTTAGCAAAAATATATTAGCATGATTAAATGGCAAAAGGACTTACAAAAGGCAAGGGCATTAATTTTCAATCCTGCACAAAATAAAAAAATTCCTCACGACTCTCCACTTTTACCAGTGGAGCTTGTCGTCCTTCTGCTGAAGGAGGATTGCTGTAGACTTCTCTAGCTTGACTATTGCAGCATAGCACCTTAGATCTAGAAAGGGATGCTAATGCCACAGTTGTAGAAGTGTGAAAAAAGCACCTTGTATGTAGTAATGTATTTTATATCTGTTTTTCCTTTTACTGACTGTTTATAACACTCAATTGACAATAGATATGAACTGTATTTTAAATCATACTGTTAAATATTTTCCCTCTTTTGTTGGGAAGCTCATTTTAGTTTAACCATGTTTGCTTAGTTGGTAGCTTACCTGGAAGGCAGTGACCACTTTTTTATATTCTCTTAATGAAACCATTCAGCAGGTATATGCCGTTGAAGCTGGTTATAGAGGTTTTCTATAATAAATGTTCAAGTATTTTTGTATATAACTGGTTAATTTTAATAAGATATACCATTATGTGTAAAAAAAAAAAAGTAAAAATAAAAGCAGTTGTTGATGCAGTATGATTGTTATAATTATGCCAAATACTTTATGTATGGAAGAAGAATATTTGTACATATGTGCTTTTAACAATAATTCTGCCATATTGACTTTACAATTTTGAATGTCGGAAAAATTAATATATGTTAAATATTTATGTTTAGTGAAAGTGTTCATAATTGAGAAAAGGAACATATGCATTTTAGCTTTGTATCTTGCAAGTTTTGCAGTCAGAAATTTTTTGAACTAGCTTTTGCTTTTGATAACACTTTGTGTTTGTAACCACATTCTTATATATACACATACATATGTGAAGCTCCATATACCTGTTGCTTTAAAGAAGTAAAACCTTCCATTTAAATAAGATGACATGCATAAGATAACAAAGCTTCTTTGATTTCCTTTTCCTGTGTAATTTAATAGATTTGTTGTCTAGTGCTTGGGCACAGTATAAATCAGTGTTATTTGCTCTTGAAGCCATTTAAAAAAAATTTTTTTGGCGGTGAGCAGTTGAATTTATCTTGAATTTATCATGTGTGTGTGTGTATTTCTGAAGCAGCTGCATAGCAGAACATTTTAAGAGATTCTGTGAGCCCACATGTTCATGTTGGTTGCTGCTGAATGGTAAATATTAAATAAAATTACCAGATTAATCTTAATATTTCTGTCTTTACTCCTATCATCAGCATATCTTAACCTAGAACAGAAGCAGCGTAAATCTCTTGATCTTATTATAGTGAGATTTTTGGACTTCTTTTTAGACAGATCCTGTTTGTGCTGTCGTAGCTAGGTAGATGCATTTCACGCTTACTAAGCTCACTTATGCCATAGAAAACAATCATTAGGCTGGGCGCAGTAGCTCACGCCTGTAATCCCAGCACTTAGGGAGGCCGAGGCGGGCAGATCACGAGGTCAAGAGATAGAGACCATCCTGACCAACATGGTGAAACCCCGTCTCTACTAAAAACACAAAAATGAGCTGGGCGTGGTGGCATGTGCCTATAGTACCAGCTACTCGGGAGGCTGAGACAGGAGAATCATTTGAATGCAGGAGGCAGAGGTTGCAGCGAGCCAAGATAGCACCACTGCACTCCAACCGGGCAAGAGAGCAAGACTCTGTCTTAAAAAAAAAAGGAGAAAAAAGGAAAGATAACAAACAGTATGGATTAGTATCCCCCAGAGAAGGTAACATTTACCTGGTTGTCTGACCATTCATTGTTTAACCAGGGCCAACTTAAGTCAAACCATAAAAATTTGTTTGCATCAGAAAACTTAAAACAGATAACTTCCAAGTATAAAAGGGCATGGTTGAATGCTGCTTTTGACAGCTGTGGCAAAATCCATCTGCATGCCAGCTTTTCTCCCTGGTTTTCATAAAATGATTGGAAAATATACATTTGACATATACTGAAAAATCCATTGACTACAAGATTTCTATTAATAAAGCCTGGCTTTTAACTTGGTGAAATGTGCCGATATTGTGTTAGGTTTAAGACATTTCTGTAACTCGGTGCCAAGAAAACCACTGTCTAAAGCTTCAGTCCCCTTGAATACCAAAACTGATTTAAAGGCCATTGTCAGCTGGGCGCCATGGCTCACGCCTGTAATCCCAGCACTTTGGGAGGCCAAGGCAGATGGATCATCTTAAGTCAGGAGGTTGAGACCTGCCTAACCAACATGGTGAAACCCTGTCTCTACTAAAAATACAAAAATTAGCTGGGTGTGGTGGCGGGTACCTGTAATCCCAGCTCAGGAGGCTGAAGCAGGAGAATCGCTTGAACGCAGGAGGCGGAGGTTGCAGTGAACTCAGATTGCACCACTGTACTCCAGGCTGGGCGACAGAGCAAAGCTCTGTCTCAAAAAATAAAAAATAAAGACCATTGTCAGTATGTTCTTGATCATTTCTCAACATTAACTAAATGATTTTAGAATATTTTTGGGTTATTTACATTACAACTGAGCCCATGAGTATTTGGATTCTACAGGCATAATTACAGTATAGCTCAGTTTCCTAAGTAAGTTTCTACCTGGATTGTTATTAATTGTTCTACAAAACACAATGAAGAGAATAACAAGTTGCATAGCTTTGCCTTTGTTTGATCTGTACACATTAAAAGGCGACTTGTACTGAAATGAATTCTTATTGATTAAAGTAAGCCTGGCCCTCATTATGTAAGAATACCATGAAAATAGATTTGCAAATGTGACAAAGTACCAATTCCCTAACAGAACTGTTAATATTACTTTTCACATATTCCTTTTTCTTTTTCTACACGTATGTATTACATAGCTTTTCTAAATTGTTAACTGCTAGTTCCTCAAATACACAATCATCAACACAACCTATTGACGATACAGGGCTGAGTTCACTGCTACCTGCTGTAAGGGAGAGAGACCCATGTCGACAGAGCTTTGGTGTCTTAGAAGGCAAAGGGCAAGATCGGATTTTGTTGAAATCCTGGAGTTTTGTTTAAGGTGGATCTTTTAATGAGCAAGCTTTGAGTAGATATGGGGGAGAAACACTGCTACCTTACCTAAAGTTTGAGAAAAGGTTAATAAGTCAAGGTATTTTATTTATAGAATCTTGTGCAAAGGATATTGATATCCTCATAAAGGAAATGAAAAGGGGAGATGAAAAGAAAAGTAACAGGCATTTAACTTAGGATAGCACCTACTAAAGTGCTTCATCCCAGAGGAGAGATTATTAAGACATTTTAGATCCTCTGCTTGTACAGAATACTAGAAAATCCCCAACATTCTGAACCCATGTGCCACTTTACTTATCCAGAGTTTACCTCTGTCATTCACAACCAGTTAAGGGGCCAAAAGCCCAGAAGCCCTGATGATGATCTGAACCATGCTAAACAGCCCAGTCTGCTCATGAAATGAAGAGTCTCCAAGAAGATGAAGCTGATGAAGTGCTTGATGTGTTTGAACCTTGCTAAAGGGAGACATAAACTTTCGTAACTGTGTTAAGAGATGAATGAGATAGGTACCTAGAAAGCTGCACAAGTGGAAAAATCTAATAACTCCAGAAAGAACCAAAACCTTTTATACAAGTAAATTAACTATAATATACTACATGAGTCAGCCATGTATATTTACATAGTTATGGAAATGTAAAACATAATTGATCTAGCTCCAAATTATCATGTAATTATACTGGAAGGATGGGGTTAAAGGAATTCATGTATGTGGAGAATAAAATAAATTCTCATCTTCCATAAAGGTATATTAGTAGATAATGCCTAAAACTTAATGACGATCAAAAAGCATCAATAAAAGATACTTTTTTATTTAGAGATATAAGGTAAACATTGAAAGTAGTTGTCTGTGAGGAGTGAAAATGCCTGGTGACCGGGGATGTTGCAAGGGATTCCTATTTTATGCAGTGGCTTGATAGAACTATATGCAAGAATGATGATGCATTTTCAGAGACTGAGAAAGAATTATACAACATTTGGATGGCACTACACTGGTTTCACTTCTCTTGCTTATTTTTTTTCTCCTTTATGTAAAAGAGCAAATCTGGTTCTGGACCTCTTTGAAAAGCACATCTGGAGTTTGTAACCAGGTGTCTACTGAAAGGAATGGGTGTGGCAGGTAGGAGGAGATGAAGGTGGAGGAGTGTCTGATGCATATGAAACTCCTACTAGAGCAGAAGTGAATAGCAGTGAGACCAGCTATTTTTAATCGTGTAAGTTTGTAAAGGGTTTAATAGCCAAGCTTCTCTTCTTCAGTAGCAGCAGTAAGGAGTCAAAGAAAAACTTTTATACAGAATTCTAAAAGGGATTTTACAGGTATTAATAACAGTTTACAAGTCCCTTTTGTGTCCGTTATGTAAATGTTCTCATTCTGATCAAAGCACAGGAAGGTCTTAATATGTCTTAGTCCAGAAAAACAGTTAACAGTCCCAGGTCATTTCCCAGGGGAAACACATCAGTAATTGCATGGTGAATGTAAAGAGGGCTCGGGTCTATAATAAAGAAATTTGGCGAGGGTGTCCTATCACACCCAATCTCCCTCCCCTCACTCTCTAGATGGCACGACCACAGCCTCCTGCCTCAACAAACACAATTTATCCAAATCCTTGTTCATCTACACCCAGAAAAAGAGGTTCTTCTCTTCAGGGTTAAGAGGTCTACCCATGCACTGATCCTGTCTAATATGGCCTCCTCTTTGAGGAGAGCTGGCTATGACCTTTGAGCATATTCGTCTGGCTAACACGACGGCTAGACCTGAAGACAACAACAAATGTAACATTTACTAACCTCAGACAATAGGAAAGCTTTCTTCTTCTTTCTTTACTTTCTATTTCTTTTGGTTAGGCAATTTTTTAAGCTTAAGAATTTATAAAAAGTGGACAAAATTAGCTGTATTAAATTTCAAAACTTCTCTAAGTGAAAGACAACCGATATAAAAGAACAAGACCAAAAAAAAAAAAAATTGCAGTAACTATAACAATGTTAATGTCTTCATTCTGTAAAGAACTCACCCAAATTGATTTTTTAATATGCTATTAAGATACACAGTATTACAAAAGAGAATCATTTATAAAATATGAATCATAAACAAATATATGGTAAAATAACCACTCTACTAATCAGAGAAAATATAGTGAATTAACATTTCTTGCTTATTAAATTAGCTACAAGTATAACATGACAGCACCCAATCGTAGAAAGAATATTGTGAAAGTTGTACTAATTGATAAAGCTAGTGGTACTAAATTAGGATAGCTTTTTCAGAACAAAGTGTGGCAATATGGATCAAAAGTCTAAAAAATGGTTATGTGCTTTGAGAAATATAACTCCATTACTGTAAACCTATGCTAAGAAAATATTTCAAAATTGAATATTTGGATAAACAATAGGCAAAGATTTCAAGTCATAGAAATGTTAGTCAGTTCTAGGAGCCTTTGGGGAGAGACATGGGGTTTTGTAGATATAGAATCATATTGTCTATGAGAACAGATAGCTTGACCTCCTCTCTTCCTATCTAGATGCCTTTTATTTCCTTCTCTTGCCCCATTCCTCTGTCCAAGACTTCCAGTACTGTGTTGAATAGAAGTAGCAAGAGTAGGCATCCTTCTCTTGTTCCATTTCACAAGGGGAATGCTTCTAGCTTTTGCCTATTCAGTATGGTGTTGGCTGTGGGTTTTTCATAGATAGATCTTATTATTTTGAGGTGTGTTCCTTCAATGCCTAGTTCACTGAGAGTTTTTAACATGAAGGGATGTTGAATTTTATCAAAAGCTTTTTCTGCATCTATTGAGATAATCATGTGGTTTTTGTTTTTACTTCTGTTTATGTAATGAATATTAATGTGCATACGTTGGACCAACCTTGTATCCCAGGAATAAAGCCTACTTGATAGTGGTGGATTTGCCTTTTGATGTGCTGCTGGATTTAATTTGCTTGTACTTTGTTCATCAGGAGTCTATGTTCAGAGATATTGGCCTGAAGTTTTTTTTCACTGGGTCTCTGCTAGGCTATGATGTTAGAATGATGCTGGCCACATAGATTATTAGGAAAGAGTTCCTCCTCCTAAATTTCTTGGACTTACTTCAGTAGGAATGGTACCAGCTTTTCTTTATATGTTTTGTAGAATTTGGCTGTAAATCTGTCTGGCCCAGGCCTTTTTCTAATTGGTAGTTTTT